TCATGCGAACCCGCACGGATCATCGATTCCTTCGTGGCCGACGGTTTCTTCTCCCTCCTCTCCTCGGCGGCGGCTCGTCTACGCTCCCTCTTGTCCTGAACCACATAAGGCACACTCCGGACCACCTCGATTGTAAGCTTAACACCGGCATGGAAGTGGTGTGCGGCGGCACCGAAGTGTGTCTTGGCACTGGCGTAGGCTGTCCTTGCAGCGGCGGATCGTTTCCGAGCCTTGTATGTCCGCTCAGCGCGGCGAGCAGCCTGGAACGTTTGCGAGGCAGCGCGACGGTTGCTAGTTAGGGCTAGCTCTGTGCCTGATGTGCCTGGTCTCTTCAGGGCCCGAGGGACAGAAACGACTTTAATGGTTGGATCTGGAAGTGGCTTTTCCGAGATGTTTGGCAGAGGCTTCTCTGAGAGTTCCGTATGTGGAGTTACGGAAGGTGGAGGAGGAGGGTTAGACTCGCTAGGAGCGGCCTTCGAGGCTGTCTTCCAAAAGGACATTTGAAAGCAGACAAATTGCCAGGTCTTACTATGAAAATGGATGCCAGACGATGGCTATGTGATGGGCGAGAGACGGAACCGCATGGGAAAAAACAAGATCGGGGATCGAAATAAGTCATGAGGACTCACACTTATACACGAAATCTCAGAAAGGAATCAGACGACGACGACCTGGCCATCCATGTTCACCATCACTTCCAGAATTCATGCGGAATACAAGCCCATCCCTGACCCAGCGAACCTAAGATGAGGATGTTTCTGTAGGAGGCTGTTTAGGACGGAAAGCATAAAGTCCAATTAAACGCGTTTCACGTCCAACAGTCGTGAACCTGCCGCGGCAACTGCGCGAGGTATATTCGACCGTCATAATGAAATTCAGAGCTTTCAAGAAACAGGAGAACTTCCTCGCAGAGTGTTCACAGGTTACTCTTGCATTATTCGCATTTTGAGGATCTCATAGAGACCATTGTAATCTTCCATGACGTCGAAGTTGTGCGATTATAGATGAGATGATTGCTTCACCCGAAGGTGTCATTCCAAAGGATTGCCGGAGCGAAAGAATGAAGATTCTAGATTGGTCCGCCAGATCTTCGGCTTGGGCGGTCACTGGTCAGAGACCTGCAGCGGGAGATGGTCGCTAGCGAGAAGTGAGAAGTGACGATATCCACTTCTCGAAACCTTGCCGACCCCGGCCACGTTGAAATACCCCCACCCCACACGTTGAATTCACCCCAGCAATTGTTGAATTGTCCTCTGCTGCATGTGATAATAGTGTGAAACTCCATGACTCGGGCTCGTTGTACGACTCAAGAACACAGTGACTTCCAGACGCTACCGTAACATAATACCACGTCGCAAGTGACGTCGTTCCACGGAGTGCAGTCCGGATATCAACATCAACTTGGAACACTCCGAGTTCGCTTATACTCGGCCAAGCTGTCGAGACCCGAACCTTCCTCACCGCCATTGATGGACCGGATATAGAAGAAAGACTCGGTCTTGTGCTCAGCTCGTTTGCTCAGCTTGTTCTTCGTCCAGCATGAGTACCTCCGCCGAGCCCTCAGGAGAGATACCTGGCGCCCATGAGAATGTGCGCAGGAGGCGTCAGCAGTCCTCTGCGTCGGAAGAAGCTTCCGCGGAGCCGTCCCAGGTTGTAGCTGCGCTCAATGCCGATCCCAAGGTCAAGAAAACGTATGGACGAACTCCTGATGGAACAGGTATGTGGTGCTCGACGGCAGAGAGGGGGCAAAAGACAGCCTGTGCTAACCAGCAACTCTGTCACAGTCTTCATCGTTCCCACCACCCATGATATGGTGTCGCAGCTGCTCGATCCTCGTCAGCCCAAGAACCTCTCAGATGTAGTCGTGCTCGCCATCCTAGCCTTCCATATCGCAGCTGCATATTACCTACCTGCCAGCCTCAGGCGTCCCGTATTTGCTGCCATCTTCCTGTTCTGGAGAGCAGCATATAATGTCGGCATCGGCTACCTTCTCCGTGTCCAGTCCAACCACAAGTTGCTCGTAACCTGGGCGAAGAAGTGGAAGCTCTTCGAGGACCCTGCAACCGGCAGGAACCCGAGGCCATGGCTCTATCGTCTACTCAAGCGTGAGCTCGAGGCCAAAATCCCGGAGGACTACACATTGGAAAAGGCACCGATCGAGTACAACACCTGGCTCACTTTCCGGCGAGTCGTTGATCTGATTCTGATGTGTGACTTCGTGTCGTACTGTCTGTTCGCTATCGTCTGTGGCCACAAGCCCGAAGGAGAGAACATTTTCATGACAGTGGCTCGCTGGGCAGTTGGAATCATACTGGTCGGCTTCAATCTCTGGGTGAAGCTGGACGCCCATCGGGTTGTCAAGGATTATGCTTGGTACTGGGGTGATTTCTTCTATCTCATTGATCAGGAGCTCACTTTTGACGGCGTCTTTGAGATGGCGCCGCATCCCATGTACTCAATTGGCTATGCTGGTTACTACGGCATATCCATGATGGCAGCGAGCTACGACGTCCTCTTCATATCCATTCTGGCGCACGCAGCTCAGTTTGCCTTCCTTGTCGTTGTTGAGAATCCTCATATTGAGAAGACTTACAATCCGCCCCCGCCTCGCGTCCGGGCCGACTCGAACATGTCCGACTTCAACAGTCAGTCCGGCGACCAGCTCTCAGAAGTTATCTCATTGTCCCCGAGTAAGCCCATTAGAGAGACCCCAGCCCCAGTCCACAACCTTCTGGGACTTAGAAACCTCGATCTCTTCCGTACAACGGATTACTCGGTAATCCTACTCTTGGGCTACCTCGCTGCCCTGACGATTGCCACTCCCCGAACACCCCTGGTCCAGGGACTGTTCGTGGCGCACGCTTTGTTGTGGCGTCTGTGGTATTCCATTGGCTTGGGCATCATTCTCACCCTCCAGTCGGAGGATAAGATGTTCACGAGACACTTCCTCAAGTTCGGCGAGAGCGCCGGAGAAGCATGGCGTCAGTGGAAGGGGATGTACTACGTCAGCAATGCCCTTTGCCACGGCTCCTTCATTGCGGCGTGCTGGAAGATGTATTCTTTTCCCGATGATTGGAATTATGGATGGGTACTCTTGAAGCACGTCATCGGTATCGGCCTGGTTGCGCTTCAGATGTGGACCGCCAGCAGCATCTACGAATCATTGGGAGAGTTTGGCTGGTTCTACGGCGATTTCTTCTTCGATAGCACCGGGAAACCGACCTACAAGTCCATCTACCGCTTCCTCAACAACCCCGAGCGCGTCCTCGGTACTGCTGGCCTCTGGGGCGCCGCACTGATGACGTGGAGCAGGTCAATCTTCCTCTTGGCCATTACTGGACATCTGCTCACGCTCGGGTTCATCTCGTACGTCGAGAAGCCGCATATGCAGAAGATCTACGGCCGGAACCTGCGGCAGGAGGCCGGTCTCACCAAGTTCATCAAGAAATCCTTGCCGCCACCCGCCAAGAAGTGGCAGCAGAGCGTTGACAGGGTTCTCGACGAGACGAAGCACTTCGTCGACGACTTTGTCGAGGCAGCTCGTTCCAAGCTCGCGGCCGGCTCCTCAACCATCGTCAAGGACACGACTGCCCTGTTCAACAAGTACCCTGCCCGCCTCACCATCACGCGCATCGCGCCTGACCTTGCCGGATACGACCCGAAGCACTATTCCTTGTCTATCGAGGGCACGCCTCTGGCAGCTGACGACGAGAGGGCCACAGGCAAGGAGAGCGTCAACGCCCGAGTTCCCAAGGGCGTCAAAACCAAGGTCTTTGAGTACGGCGCGCCCATCCGCGTCAAGTGGAACGCCCCCGCGAACCACAGCAAGAAGGACTGGATCGGCCTTTACATGGTGACGGACAATCGCTCCAGGGATGTGACGGAGGTGTCGTCGCTGGGCAGATGGACGCCTACCTGTCGGGGCGTGTACGATACCAGCGACGACAGCGGGATCATTTCCTACGACGAGCCTGTCGAGAAGCTGACCCCTGTCGAGGTCGATCTGGTCAAGGGGGAGATGGTCTTCGAGGGCGACAAGCTCTGGTGGACGCAGGGCGTGTTCGAGTTCCGGTATCATCACGACGGAGCGCACAATGTCATGTCCATCTCGGAGCCCTTCGAGGTCCGGATCGGAAGGTTCGACGATGCGGATGTGGAAGTTGATTCGATGGGGGTCTACGAGAAGGCTGTCGAGTCGGCGCTGCTACCCATTGTGCGGAACTGCCTCGACCGGGACCCGAATACGGCGCCGAGCACGGTCGACGAGCCATTTGGAAGTCTTGTGGAGCGGGACAGCAAGTATGCTCGACGGGTTGTGTACGCGATACATCATATGTTTGGTATCGAGTTTGCGCCTGCCGTGGTTCCGGCTGATGGGAATGTGCGGAAGCTGGCTTGGAGGATATGCAATGCGAAACAGGTTCTGGTGAGTCTACCCTGATGTAGAGCGATTGCCACGAATCTTGCTAATTTTGCGACAGGCACCGTATAGCATGTCCAGGTCCAGAGGTGCGACAACGCCGGTAACTGAGAAGTTTCCGGATAAGCTGTAGAGGAGCTTCCCAGGAGAGCATGGTTGGAAGGTGGTAGCGATGGCTTTGGTTGGGATTGGTGATACCCATGTATACACAGTAGACATATTGGTGGCGGCAGTGGATGGTTGGTAGGGAACCAGATCATATGCATAAGAGAGGCGAACAAAAAAGCAGATCTGTTTATATCAAGCATAAAATGCAAGTATATATAAGGCTTTGCCACAGCTAGAGCTTCGGGTCCTGCAATACGTGCTATGCGATTGTGCTTGTCCTGTAACAGCACAGAGGTTGTGCTTTCCGTCGTACCCTCCTGCCTCACAACCTACTCTGGGTTAGGGTTCCACTAAATTAAACCTCCTGCGTCCTATCGTACTGAGGCACGATACGTGAGGTACTTTAGCCGTGGGTCGAACACAGCTAGTACTGGTCGCTCTTGAAGGATAATACGGGATGCCAAATTAAGAAGCATCAGTGGTTTAGTGGTAAAATCCATCGTTGCCATCACACTACGAGTTCTCCTGGAACTCGGTGAATCCTCGATGGGCCCCGTGTTCGATTCACGGCTGATGCACACTTTTTTTCCCGCCCTCTTTTTTGCTTCAGGACTCTTTTCTCTGATATGCTTGGTCTCCCTTCACTTTCCTGTTTTATAGTCAACTGCATAAGCTCAGTATTGTCGGCATCCAATCGTGGGTGGGTGGCTGTAAGGGAGTAGAGTAGCGCAAACTTTTGCAAACACTCCGAGATCTAGGCCCGTTCCCTTATCGGAGACCGATAAGACCGCTGCCCCGCGATCGCCAGAAATATTTCTGGTCACCACTTTCACGGGCCAGAGGTCGATTGTCTGGTTGCCCTTCGAAAACAACACTCTTTTGTATTCTGACTCCCAGTCCAAACTGCGACTCGTATTTGTTTTAAAATGGCTCCCTCAGCAGATACTCCTGCGACCCAGGACTCTACTACTTCCACGATTGCCAGCCTGCGAAAGTCACTCTGCTCTGAGACAACGCCACTCGCGACCCGATTCCGCGCCCTCTTCTCGCTCAAACATCTCGCCCACCAGGCGACAGATCCCCAAGAAGCCCATGCCGCGATCGACGCCATAGCAGCGGCATTTCCCTCTCCGTCCGCCCTGCTCAAGCACGAGCTCGCATACTGTCTCGGTCAGACGGGCAAGAACGCCGCGGCGCCGTATCTGAAGACTGTCCTTGAGGATCTGCAGGAGGATCCCATGTGTCGCCACGAGGCTGCCGAGGCTCTCGGCGCACTGGGTGATGCTGGTAGTCTCGATGTGCTGAAGAAGTTCAGAGATCGGGAGGGAGAAGAGGTTGTGGTCAAGGAGACGTGCGAGATTGCTATTGATCGTATTGAGTGGGAGAACTCGCAGCAAAGAAAAGAGGAAAAATTACGGCAAAGGTGAGCCAAGGCCCTGGACAGGTCCAATTGTGCTTCTAGCCTAACTTATGTACAGCGACTTCGCTTCTGTCGATCCCGCCCCGCCACTGCCCGAATCACAGAAGACGGTCGAGGAATTGGAGGCAACGCTGATGGACACCAAGCTCCCCCTCTTCCTCCGCTACCGAGCCATGTTTGCCCTACGAGATCTTGCATCCCCACCAGATCTGCCTACAGCTGTTCCAGCGGTCAATGCGCTCGCAAAGGGTTTGAATGACCCTTCTGCGCTCTTCCGCCACGAGATTGCCTTCGTCTTTGGGCAACTCTCACATCCTGCTTCGATCCCGGCGCTGACGGCCGCTCTGAGCAATACCGAGGAGGCCAGCATGGTCAGACATGAGGCGGCCGAGGCGCTGGGTAGTCTTGGTGAGGAGGAGGGTGTCGAGGAGGTGTTGAAGCGCTTCTTGCATGACAAGGAGCGGGTTGTGAGGGAGAGCTGTATTGTCGCGCTGGATATGGCCGAGTACGAGAAGGCTGGCGAGGTAGAGTATGCGCTTATTCCGGACGTTGCTGGGTTGGCTTGATATTCTACATGTAGCTCTGGGACAAGCTATCTTCGGCGTTATGGTGGCCAAAACTCTGATTGAGCGGCGTGCGGTTTGCTGGATTCTTAGATTCTCAAGTGTGACGTCGTAATCAGTCGTATTTGGGCGCATTTAGTTGTTCATACTCCACCTAGATGACTGGTCAGCAGATCAACAGCAAAAGGGTCGGCATATGGTGATATATACTTATGACCACATTCGCAGTTGTATATAATTGTCGAGCCTTCGTCTGCACTTCGCATCTGAACCTCATTGTACCGGATTCCAACTGTTCCACATTCAGGGCAGTCCATATTGGGGTCGACCTGGCTTGTCTGAATCTTGTGCCTTTCGACTGTTTGCGTGGTCGACAGCTTTTGCCGGAGGAGGGAAGGGAAGTCGGAAGGTTTGGACCTTGTTACTATAGTCTTTGAAGCAGTATCTGTTTTGTCTGCTTTAGTATATGCCTCGTCTGCTTCAGTTCGTCCTCGATGCGCTCTGTTCCCAATCGGCTGCCGTGTACACACCTCTATTTTCCGCGCCACAACATTCGCAGTGAAGAATATTCTTCTCGCTGCCCTTGGAAGCAGGCAACAGATTACCGCAATCCGTGCAGAAGATCAGAGAGCCAATAGCTGCCATGATAACGTCGTATATCGTGAAATCGTGAGGCTGAATCAACGTGGAAAAGAAAAGTTGAAGATCGGCAAGTCGGGCTTTCCGTTTGCGACAGGATTTTGAGGTCCACAGTGCAGGTACGAGCCAACCTGGAAAGTACACTCCCCCCACCGGTGGTCAGCGATGCACCAATCACATGCCATATATGGGGCAGCTGTCTGGGCGAGCTGGGGAAGGAGCGACAGGGCTACTGCGATAGTACAACTTTTAGCGCAAGGCTGTTGGTCGAACGGGAACTTGTGCCGTCCAACTGCGAACGGGAAGCGCCGACTTCAACTTCAACCCAAACCTCAACACGCCTTAAGTGATTAACTGCTGTTTCTTTTCTTTCCAGGATCTCACTCTACCCACAAGTTAGTCAACGACATACCGGCTTGGGGTTGTTGGAGGCATGGCTCGCCGTCTTCAACTTGACTAGTTGCAGTCACATCTCAATTTCGAGGCCTGAGATGCAAGCTGCCGCCCGACAAACATTATCGTCTCTTCGAACCATGAATTGAGGAGAGCCGCTCTGTCCACAATGCCTGACCCCCGGGCGGGGTACGCCAACGGTGTACCAAGCGGTCGCCCCCAGCCGCATCGCCCTCCGCCGTCTGCTCAGCATACTCAAGTTCCTTCGCGGCAAGACGCTTTCAATCGGCCGTTCACCATCCAGGAAGCCCTTCCTTACACACCTTTCACCTCTATTGCTCCGATCCATTCCGGTTCGAACACCTCTTTTATTTTCTTGTCTTTTCCTTCTCACATTGGTGTCAAACATTGCTAATGTTTCGCTCAGATGTCATTCCTACACCGAACCTGGGGTCGGGATCCCCTGCAACGGAGCTCACTGATGCGGTCGCGACAACCGACTTCGAAGCGCTAAATGCCGAATTACGCAGCGGACAGCCACCTTCAAAGCGCCTGGAACAGGCGATAGCAAGCTTCCACAATCTCTTGGACCCTAAACGATTACCAGAATAGTTCGTATCTCGGGACTGTAGAGGAGAACCATAACCCTGACAGTGTCTTAGCAAGTTCAAGGTCAGCCCAATGGCTATCTCCGGTGCCGCGACGAATCCGCCAATGGCAAACAACCTGTCCCCTTTCTCTAAAATGGTAGTTGACCAAACTTCCGTTGCTTTCCGGTACCCGACACCAGACACACCGGGTCTTGCTTCCACAAACGGGCATTCAGTATCGCCTGTTATGGCGAAGCAGAAGTCTCCTGTTATTCGCAAAGCAGACAAACCAAAGCAGAGTCCGAAGCAGAGCTCGATTGCGGAGCTTAATAGGCAAGCGCACGCGCAAAATGCTCAGAATGCTGCCAGGTTTGAAATCATCTTGCCGACTAAGAAACAGTTTGATAAGGCTACAGCCGCCAGAGCGACAGGGCACAGCGTTGGTGCGGCTATACAGAGCCTTCAAGAGACACCAGGTGCCCCCGCTGCTTCGGCCCCATTAGGACCGTCTACACCATCCAGACCACTGGCGATCGCAAATGAACCGATTGCGGATTCCATCACTGTGACGCCTCAAAAAGACTCGAAACAAGCTAGCCCAGTTCCCGTATCGGAATCTGCTCGACCTCCACCACAATCGCTTGGCACACCCTCAAAAGGAATAATAGCAATCGAGCTTCCTCGCGCCAAATCATTCAATAGGAACGAATATTTAGTGGTACCTGACACACAAGATGAGCCGGACTCATTGTCCTCGCGGAAGCGGAAGCGAGAGGAATACGACAGTAACCGTGACATCCTTGGCCAGAGCCTCGGTCATCGAGAGAGGTCCAATGCAGCATTCAACGACCTACTGCGCTGTTTTCAAGAGGTCTTCAATGCCGAGCAGAATCTACTGGACTACCGCTCCAACAATGAGCTCGTCTACTTTAGCCTGGACGGAGAGCCTACTCTATCGTCTGCCGCCCAGCAGAAAGTACAGTCTTTGCTTGGAAAATCCATAGAGTTGGACTGTTTCAAGCAGGTGCCGCTGGACGACCTGTTGCATATTGTCCGACTCAGTGAAGGGTCACTGAAGCATGCCGAGAGTCTTGATCTCAAACTCGATGAGACATGGGGGTCATCCGAAGTTGAACTGTGGTTACAACTTCTTCCGGATGTTGACTCGGGCCTGAAAGCGGCCCGAACGACGCTTCGAATGATGTGCGGTGGCCGCGAAGACAAGCAGCTGTACTCCGAAGGTACCATAGAGCTGGCCCTGAATCTCTTCAAGCATGTTCTGGATGGGATCATTGTTCCACTGGCGGAGCTGAGAAACACCAGTGAGGTCTTCAAGCTGCTCTCACATCACAGAGACAGGATCGCACACGTGCTCACAACGTGTCAGCGGCTGTTCACGCTCATGACAACTCTGATCTCTACCATTGATACGTCGGAGACAGTCATGAACACTCTGGAATTCGCTGCTTCTCGTCTGGTGTTCATTGAAACGGCACATTCTGAGAAGGACTCCGTCGTCGAGATTCATCGGTTCGACGGCCTTCGTCTGGTCGCTATGGATATGCTCTCGCAGGTGTTTCTTCTTAACCCCGCGCAGAGACAAGGTATCTTCGACGATATTCTGACCTCTTTGGAGAAATTACCAGTTGGCAAGCAGCGCGCGAGACAGTTCAAACTTGTGGATGGCACAAGCATCCAGCCTGTATCAGCCCTGATCATGCGCCTAGTGCAGGCCAGTGCAGGGAAGGTGGATGATTTGAAGGCGGGCAAGCATGGGATGGACATGCTCTCCATGGAGACGAATGATGGCGAAGATGTTGCTCGCCACGGTGGGAGTACAGTCCCCAATGCCTCCTTCACCGTCAATACAGAAGAAGAAGGTGCCAACAATCATTCAGCCGCTGTACAGGAGCTTCAAGATGTTGTGAGCCCGCTTATGGATTCGGCCAGGGGGAATGCAGGCTACGTTATCA